AATGAATAATTAGGCATATATTATGTTAGATAGTATAGATGCTAAGGAGAAAGTGTAAAGCAGAGCTGGTAGACAGGAAATAGCAAGGGTAGAGAAGAGGTGTTGAAATTTCAGATATGATGATTAAGGTAGTCAAATGCCTCATTGAGAAAGGGGCAGTTGAGGAGTGAGCTGAATGAAGTAAAGAAGTAAGCTGTGCAAATATATAGATGAAAGGTCTTCAAAGCCTTTGATTTTTACCTAAGATTAATAACGAAGGTCCTAAAGGAGGTATATGCTTATAGTATTTCAGGAAGGATGAAGAGGCTGGTAAGGTAGACAGTGAAGTCCAAGAGAATGGGGTAAGGGAGGCTTGGCGGAGCAGTTTGATTTATGAATCAGGCATTCAGGCTGGAAATACAGTTCAATTATCATTATCATATACATGGATTTAGAGTTATATGAGTACATGAATCCACCAAGAGAGTGAGAATAGAGAAAAATGTCTATGGACTGAACTATGGGATACTCTGACATTTAAAGTTTGTGGATTTGGAAAGTAATCAGCAAAGAAAACTGAGGAGTCTTCCATTTAGGATTAAGTCCTTTGTTGACATCTGAAATCTTTTATATGCTGGACCAGGTTTACCATCTCTCTCACCACTTACTTCCCTGCAGCTTACAGTGTTGATTATTTATTTATTTATTTTTATTTGTTCTTTTTAGATACATGTGACAGTAGAATATATTTTGACATATTATACATATATGAAGTATATCTTATTCTAATTAGGATTCTAGTCTTGTGGATATACACGATGTTGAGATTCACTGTAGTGTACTCACATATGTACATAGGAATTCATTCCCTTGTCTTACCTATTCCTATCCCCCCCTCCCTTCCCTTCATTCCCTTTTGTCTAATTCAATAAACTACTATTCTCCCTGCCCCCTTGTTTTGCATTAGCATCCACATATCAGAGAGACATTTAGTTTTGGGGGATTGGCTTATTTCATTTAGCATGATAGTTTCCAGATCCTTTCATTTACTGGCAAGTGTCATAGTCATTCTTCTTTATGGCTGAGTAATATCCCACTGAGAATATGTACCCCATTTTCTTTATCCATTCATCTGTTGAAGGGCACCTAGATTGATTCCATCGCTTAGCTATTGTGAGTTGAGCTGCTACAAACATTGATGTGGCTACATCACTGTAGCACACTGTTTTTAAAGCCTTCAAACATATGCAGAGGAGTGGTATAAATGGGTCAAATTGTGGTTCTATTCCTAGTTTTTTGAGGAATCTCCATACCACTTTCCCAGAATTGTTGCACTAATTTGCAGACCCACCAGCAATGTATGAGTGAACCACTTTCCCTCACATCTTTGCCAACATTTATGGTTACCTATATTCTTGATAATTGCCATTCTGACTGGAGTAAGAAAAAAATCTCAATGTAGTTTTAATTTGCATTTCTCTAATTGCTAGAGAAGTTGAACTTTTTTTCATGTTTGTTGACCATAGAACAGGGTTGTTGACAGAGAATGTTAATAGATATCAGAGGAAGTGAGAAACAACAACAAGCCAGAGATTACCAGTATTTTTCTAGTAACAATAAGGAATGGCTAGGTATAATAACTTTCTTAACTTCTTTTCTGTCAACTTTGTGAAAAGCTGCCCAGCAGATATTAAATACAAGCAGGTAGAAGCAAGTACAGTTGGTTCATTATTTTGAATGTTTATTTGCATGAGATTTTTTGGAACACCTGATTCCCTTTTTGTTTTTTAACAAATTACCCCAACCTGTCAGGGATGTGAATAAATGGACAGTTTTAAATCAAGGTTGTCATGTTGGATATTAACCTTCTTAAGAATCATGGAATTGTTATTAAACTTCAGAGAAGCATAACTGGTTGGAAGAAGGGTGGAGACAGATTTAAAAGCCAAAAATTTTTAAGGAATTTAAGGAGTGGAACTTAGGAAAGGTGTTAGTAGAAATAAGGTTTCTCTGTTTATAAATGTTATTTTAAATGAACACATGGAATTTGAGTCACCTTTTGAAATATTTTATAAATTTTGCTTAATATTAAAGACATTTTTTTCCTGTGGCATGACCATAAATATTTACAAGGTGAGACAGATATAACTTCTTTATTTTCAGTGTGGCAGAGCAGAGCTACATAAAATGGGAAGTAACATTGATAGGAAGCAATCATGTGAAACTGTATTCAAAAGAGAAAAGCTCCAGTTTCAAAAGTCTCATTCTGAATATTTCCCTCTATGTAGTATTGTTTAAATTTTAGAATGTTTTAATATCCAACTAAAATTCAAAAATATATTTTCACTCTCTCAAATGAAGCTTTAAGCATATGTTTTTTATAATTCAGTTAAATTATGCTGAGTTGTATATTTTTAAAGAGAATTTGTATTCTCAAATATTCGTTTGAACAGGCACTCAGCATCTTGATGAAAACAGTTAGAAAAGAAAAATTTTCAGTCATTCTACTCTCATAGTACCCATGCCAACTGAACTGGTACAGTTAACACTTCTGTAAGAGGCCAGGAGCCAAGAAGTTTAGCACTTCCTAAACTGCTTTTCAGCAGGCCTTCAAACCCACATAGTGGTTGATGTTAATATCATTACATTTTCAGAGTAAAAAGCTATAAGTAGAACATATGCATCTCTTTCTATCAATATTGTACTTATTAATTTTTTAGAAATCCATGGTTAGTTTCAGTCTCTGAATATTAGCATTCTTGGGGCACTGTTCTTGCAAATACGAAGAGAATGTCTCATCCCACAGATTGTCACGCCAGGTATGATAAAACCCTTTTCCAGATAGCATTTTTTTGGGGGGGAGGGGTACCAGAGGTTGAACTCAGGGGCACTCAACCACTGAGCCATATCCCCAGCCCTGTTTTGTATTTTATTTAGAGACAGGGTCTCACTGAATTCCTTAGCACCTCACCATTGCTGAGGCTGGCTTTGAACTCGTGATTCTCCTCTCTCAGCCTCTTGAGCCGCTGGGATTACAGACGTGTACCACTGTGCTTGGCCAGATAGCAATATTTAATATTGCTTTTTAGTACTACTGAATGTCACAGTAGAGAGATAAATTCTATAGCACATCATAATGCTTAGGGAAGATTGGTAGTTATGTTAGGCTACCAAATGTATAAGTAGGGATTGTTTATTCAGCCTGTGAACCATTTCTGAACCATGTCTTTTCATTATATTCCCTTAAAATTTATTGATTCCACTTAATGCACTCAGCAGTAATATACTTGGTGTGTGTGTGTGTGTGTGTACACACACACACACACACACACACACACACACACATATATATAAAATCTCCATACCCACATATTTGCTCTATCAAGTACTCTACGTACATATTTGTTGAATTGACTTAGATAGTACCCATAATATTTAGATGCTGTGGTGGAGAGTAAATAATAAAAGATTTCAAGATTCTTTATGTTAATATCTCCAGAAATGATTATACATATTTTTTCTAATTTTTGTACCGGGAATTGGACTTAGGGACACTTAACCATGGAGACACATCCCCAGCCCTATTTTTGATTTTATTTACAGACAGGGTCTCAGTGAGTTGCCTAGTACCTCACCTTTGCTGAGACTGGCTTTGAACTCGAGATCTTCCAGTCTCAGCCCCCTGGGATTACAGACATGCACCACTGCATCAATATATTTTAAGCTTTTTTTAGAACTATATGTGTAGAGTTATATGAAACCAATGATAGATCTCCTGGCTTTTTTTCCTTCTTATTATTTTTATCTGTATATAATGTAATATAGTAAATTATTTACAGTTTGGGATACAGTGTTATTTGTGACTTCTAGGGGTCTGACAATTAGCAGAGAAATGCAGTCCTTTTGTGCAACTCTGGTCATTCCATTTGGGCAGTATGTTACTGGAGGTTTAGAAAGTAATTGAGAGTCAGGTATGGTGGCACATTTTTGTAATCCCAGCTACTCTGGAGGCTGAGGCAGGAAGATCACAAGTTCTAGGCTAGCTGGGCAACTTGGCAAGACCCTTTCTCAAAATAAAAAGAGCTGAAGATATATCTCAGTGATACAGTAGTACTGCAAAAAGAGGAGATAGAGGAGAGAGAGAGATGGCAGGGGAAGGAGAGGAGAGGAGGGGAGGGGAGGGGGAGGAGAAGGAAGGAAGGAAGGGGGAAAGGGAAGAAAGGAAAGAAAGAAAAAAGAGAAAGAAAAGGGAGAAAGGAAGAAATGGAGAGGATTTTGGAAAGAAACTAAAGAGGTTAATGACTGAAAACCAAAATCTGCAGTTGATTAGGACACAGTCATGAGAAGGAAATATATACATAAATAACAGGATAATAGAGTATTATGACCAAAATTCAATAAGAGTAGAATGAGGCAAAATGTCTTTAGTGTCCTGATGTTCCATTTGATACTTCTTTGGGTGAGTCTCACAAGGAAAATGGTTGAGATCATTAGTCCTTAATACACGAATTGAGAAATAGGAATTTTGTTTAAGAGGTAACCTTGTCTTGTAAGGAAAGAGTAGGGACTCTTCAGTAGAGGGATGTTTTTATCTGTAATTTCTCTGATTGAGTGCCAGAAGCTTTTTTGAGAAACTAGTTAAAGCTGTTTGTTTCTAAGTTTCATCGTTGAAACTGACAACTGCTATAATTCTTTTTTTTTCTTTGCTAAATTTCTTTTTGATAACGTTTCAAAATTTCTCTTTAATAATAAGGTCTTCCTGTTATGCCTCATCTGTTGGAAAATCCCTTACAATTAAAAAGTATGTTTAAAGTAAAAGTATTATGAGACAAAAACTTAATTCTGTGGCTAGGATAATACTTCTTTTGTGACATTTTCTTTTCCCACCAAAAGTGAGAAGTGACTGCCTTGCCTTTGTGCATCCCATTTCTAATGGAGGACAAGAAGTTATTTTCTTCAATGGCTGACTTCCAGAATTTCTGCCTGAACGTTTTTTGTCAAGTATATATTCCCTTCTTTAGGCCTTTCTATATAGAGCCCACAAACATCGTCAGCGTGAATGATGTCATTCAGAGGGTTAGTGACCATGCCTCTGCTATGAACAAGAGGATTCATTACTACAGCCGGCTCACCACTCCTGCAGACAAGGCCCTGGTAAGAGGCAAAGCATTACTAATCGCCTGAAGTTAAACTGAAATGAACAGTGAACAACATAAACCAGGGCAACTCCCAGTCGTTGAACTTTTTGCTGGCTGTGTTCCAAGGACAGCATTATGTGAAGTCAAAGATAGTAATTAATACATGATCTACATCTCCGTCTAGTTTATTCTTATCTAACCTGGCATAGAGAGATTTGAAACTCTCTCTGTATTAACAACAGCCTGGGTTTTTTGTTTTGTTTTGTTTTGTTTTTTTGATTAAATTCTGCTTATCCTCATTCCCAAGATCTCTGAGGAAGATAAATTACTTCTGAAGTGGCAGCTTAGATCATTGATTTAAAACATAAAATTCTAGTTAGTCTGTTCAATTTTTAACTTGGAAACTACAAAGGAAAAATATTTTTAGAAATTTTTTAGAGTAAGAAACTGAAATATGTTTATTCATATATGTAATATTTTCCTATTTAGCATTTTCCTATTTCCCATTATCCTTTTTTGGATCAAAAACAGGAATCAAATGGCCAGATACTACAGAATTTTAGGCTTTGTAGACTACATACCATTGCAGTTTCTTTGTTTTGTCTTACAGCCATTAAAAACAATAAGAAACATTCTTAGGAAAGGGGCTATAAGTAATCAAGTGAAAGCTAGATTTGCCACAGTTTGTGGACCCTTGATCTTTTTTTTATTTGTTTGTTTTATCATTGTGGAATGAAAAATATGTAATTTGGTTTCTTATCAAAATGGTCACATACAAGATATTCAGAATCTTGAAAACTGAAAAAAAGTGGGAATCTTCTAGGAGAAAAATATGATTTTTAAAATAGATATTAGTAATAAGAGGGAAAAAGGAACCACCATATGAGATTTGACATCACTTGAATATATCTATTTCATTTAATCTTTGCAATAGCTATGTGAGGTAAGTATTAATTCTCCTTTTTTATGGCCAAAGTAAAGACTTCCAAATGTAATAGGTAGGATGATTTTTTTTTTTTCAATTTTGGGGGCTTCCCCTAACCCCCTCTAGGACTTTATATCCATAGTGATGATAAAGTCTTAGTTCCATTATAGAATTATCTGAGCCCTTTGAAAAGTATAAGTAATCCTCTATCTAATGCTCTAATTCACACCTTCTAAGAGCTGTACTCTGGGAAACAAATTTCAGAGATATTAGCCAGAAGTCTAGGCCTGAGCATACATTATTTGCTTGGAAATTAAGACTGTATTGTGCACCAAGTTGAATCCCTTTTGTTAACTGACACTGAGATGACTCTAGTGAATCAAAGTATATAAATAGTAATCTGCAGTTCTACAATTAACAATATGATATAAACTTTTTCTAAATATTTTTAGTTGTAGTTGGACACAATACCTTTATTTTGTTTATTTTTATGTGATGCTGAGGATTGAACCCAGGGCTTTGCACATGCAAGGCCAGTGCTCTACTGCTGAGCCACAACCCCAGCACCTAATATAAAGATTTTTAATGAATGTGTTTGAATATTCACATTCACCTTCAGAAGAATCCCAAAATTGGCAGCGCACACTGGCACATGCCTGTAATCCCAGCAGCTCAGGAGATTGAGGCAGGAGAATCTTGACTTCAAAGCCAGCTTCAGCAAAGGAGAGGAGTTCAACAACAACAACAAAAAAGAATCCCCAAATTACTTTTCCTAAATATATTTTTGTTTTTCTTTTTTCAGGGAATAACAATATAAAATCACTGGTCTCAATTTTAGAGTTAAACCTTTTTGTTTATGAAAAATTTCCCATTTACCTTGATAATTTTATTCTATAATAGGAAAGGGAAGAAAATCATTGTCTCCCAACATCTCCTAGATCCTGGCTAATAAAAGTATAGCCTGCACAGATTGGTATTATAGTGTTACCGAGGGCGTAAAAAAAATGGAGAATTTCAGACCTCACTTCAGACTACTGAAGCAAATCTATATATTAAGACGATCCCTGTGTGATATATAGTAAATTCAGTCTGACAGGCACCACCCTAGACCACTGCCAGAGTGGGATCTACCCTTCAATTTTTTTGTCCCTCCGGCATGCTTTATGTCTCTCCATTCACGCAGTGCAGACCAGGCACAGGACCTGGAGGTTGTTTCTTTATATAGTCAGTGTAAGAACACAGCCAGAAATTGCCACTTCTTACTAATCCTGCCCCTTATAACTTTTTATTTTCACATTTTCTCAATTTGCTTTGCTAGCCATGGTGGTTTTTCTCCTGCCTCACATGGACATAGCCCGTCCTTTTAAATTTTTACTCATGGCAGAGGACAACAGAATTCAGACCCAAGAGGACTATGGGTAAAGAGAAGGCAAAAGACCCTTTCCATATGTCTTTGTATCTCTGGGAAATAGTTGTTTTCAACGCTACACCATGCAGAACACTGAAGATATTCTTTGCCTTCAAGACACCACCACCCAAATGCACATAAAGAGAAGAATGTGCTGGGCTTGGTGGCTGGCACACACCTGTAATCCCAGCTACTCAGGAGGCAGAGGCAGGTGAATTACAAATTTCAGGCCAACCTAGGCAACTTAGCAAGACCCTGTCTCAAAATAAAATTCAAAAGGGCTGTGAATGTAGCTCAGTGGTAGAGTACTTGCCTAGCATGCACAAGAAATTGGGTTCAATCCCCAGAGCCACGAAAAGAAAAAGGATACCACTTCTTCATTTTTGTACCATTCCACAATCCATATCCTCTATTCCTATTGAGTCCTGATACTCCATCTATTCCATGAATTCTTCTCCAACTATTCTAGTCCCCATTATTGATGTTATTTGTTATTCCTATGGTACAGTATACCATAGAGTCAATTTTTATTATCTTCTAGCTTCCTGTCCTCCAACTGGAATTTAAAGTTTGAAGCCATATATATATATACAAATATATATATATATATATATACAAATATATATATATATATATGTGTGTGTGTGTGTGTGTGTGTTTTTAATTTTTTTTCTTAAATGCTAAACCTAGCACAGAGTTGTAAATTTTTATTTGTAAATAAAAATTGCTAAATATAAAAATTGTTGGTTTATGCATCAGGTTCTATGCCTTTTAGGACTGCTTTATTTTTATTTATTTATTTATTTATTTATTTTTGTACCAGGGATGTTTAACCACTGAGCTACATCCCCAGCCCTTTTCTTGGTTTTTTTGTTTTTTTTTTATTCTTTGAGACAGGGTCTGAGTCTGGCTTTGAACTTGAGATTCTCCTGCCTCAGCTACTGAGTCACTGGGATTGCAGGCATGCCCCACTGCACCCAGCTTAGACTGCCTATTCTTAAAGAACTATTCTTATGGAGATGGGCAGAATTGCATCAGGAAACAGTATTATTTTCCCTCTAAAATAGGAAGGTAGAATTAGGAAGAAATGAAGAGGATAACTTGGGAGCTATGTGTATAAGAAACATCTCTGTTATATCTTCAACCTCTATTGGCTTCTTCCCTTTTGCTTACATACTTAAAACTCTTCCTTTAAAATTTTTGTTTTTCACTGGGCATGGTGCTGCACACCTATAATCCCAGCAGCTCTGGAGGCTGAGGCATGAGGATTGCAAGTTCAAAGCCAGCCTCAGCAATTTAGTGAGGCATTTAGCACCCCTGGGTTCAATCCTCAGTACCAAAAAAAAAAAAATCTTTGTTTTGCCTTTTCCTTAAGCCCCTTTAGGTTACCTTTTTCCTCTGTTATAAAGCATTTTTGTTTTTGTTTTTAATATTGTTTTTAGTTGTTCATGGACTTTTATTTTTATTTATTTGTTGGTTGGTTTGTTGGTTTGTTTATTTATATGCAGTGCTGAGAATTGAACCCAGTGCCTCACACATGCTAGGCAAGCGCTCTACCACTGAGCTACAATCCCAGGCAACAAAATATTTTTTAACAGTCTGTATTTACTATTTATTTCTTTACCATCTGTTGACTCCTCGATTCCTTATATTCTGAGATTCCCTGCTTGTCTCTTTGCTGAAAATATCCTCTCATCAGAATTCAATAATCATTTGGTTCTTGAAATTCTCCTCATTTAAGGCTAGTCTTCTGTATTTAAATTTCCTTAATTTTATTCTTTGCTGGTTCTTTTTCCTCCTTTCTCACAAAGGTGAAGAGAAAAATATTTTGACAGTTGCATAAATTTTCGTTTCTTTAGATCTACTACTACATTTGAAAAATAATTTTTTAATTCACTAATCAGGGATGCATACTGTTTTCTTTGTTCATGGTATCTAGAAACATGTGTACCATCATGTACTCTGATGTATAGAGTGTATCCTGTTTAACACATTTACTTTTTCTGACATTTCTGTTTCTTTTTCACCAGATTGCTCCAGACCATGTAGTTCCAGCTCCTGAGGAATGCTATGTTTATAGTCCATTGGGTTCTGCATATAAACTTCAAAGCTGCACTGAAGGATATGGTAAAAACACCAGTTTAGTAACCATGTGAGTAAAAATTAATTTTTGGAGCATGACTTGAATGGTATACAAATACAAATTACAGATTATTTTAATTTTTTCCTTAATGAAAATATTTCAGGAGTTTAATTCCATATTTTTATGGCTATTATTCTGTGTTTTCAGTTTTATGATTTGGAATACCATGATGGGAACATCTATACTAAGTATTCCTTGGGGCATAAAACAGGTAATATAATTTTTTAGCACACTTTATGTCTGAAAATGTTTTCTCTATTGTTTTATAAGAAATTGACATAAGTTTCATTAAGTAGATGATTTATCAGGTTTTATGATTTTTTAGGGTCACTTAGTATGATTATATATGAATTTATTCTTACATGATGACATGTCGTTCTACATTTTTATTTTAAACAGGCTGGATTTACCACTGGAATGTGCGTCATCATACTGATGGGCCTTTTAACACTTTATTGCTGCTACAGAGTGGTGAAATCACGAACCATGATATGTAAGAGTTTGACACAGTGAAAATAGATTATTGATTTGAGTATTAGTAAGTCACTTGCCATTGAGGCAGATCCAAATGTGTATATTCCACGTCTTTCAATTTTGTACTTAAAGATTTACTCCCCTAATTCACAGCTTTCAACAATTCTTAAAGTTTTGTGAACACATTGCCTCTACTCATCTATAAAAATTCTGGATTAGGGAAGATCTATTTTTTTTTTTTTTTTCTTAATGGAGTCTCATGATGTTGTTCAGGCTGTCTTCAACCCAGGCTGGTCTCAAATTTGTAAACTCAAGTGATCCTCCACCTCAGCCTTCCCAATAGCTGGGACTGTATCACACCTGCCTATTGGATGAGGGAAATATCTTTTTAGGTCATTTTAAAGTAAGTTAGGACTTATTTCACTTGCTCTTAGTATATATAAACCAATTGACCAGATTGTACCTCTTGTTTTTTCCCTCTCTCTACTAAGCAGCTTTCTTTCTTTTCTTCTCTCTCTCTCTCTCTCTCTCTCTCTCTCTCTCTCTCTCTCTGGTACCAGGAATTGAATCTAGGCATACTTTATCACTGAGCTATATCCCCAGTCCTAGTCCTGTTTATTTATTTATTTTGAGACAGTGTCTTGCTGAGTGGCTGAGGCTGGCCTCGAACCTGTGGACTTCCTGTGTCAGCCTCCAGAGTCTCTGGGATTACAAGCATGCACTATCTTGCCTGGCTTTAAGCAGCTTCTTTATTTAGGTACCAAATATCCTCTTAGCCACTTGGGGGGTATTATTTTAAAGTTTTAAGAGAAGATTCATTCTAGTTCCTAAATGAGAAAGTTTAGCCTTAGTTTTGCTCTTTTTCAGTTTTGACTGAACTTGGAAAACCTCTTTAAACATATGTAGTGACTGCATATCTTAATCCAGGGTCTTTTTAAAAATGAGAACATAGCTTCTCTGAGATCTTTCTGTAGCTACTAAAAAACAGGAAACAGGGCTGGGAATATAGCTCATTTGGTAGAGTGCTTGCCTCACATGCACAAGGCCCTGGGTTTAATCCCTAGCCACCACCAAAACAAAAGAAAAAAAAAAGAAACACCCATGGCCCATGGTACTTAAACTATTTCACAAAATTTAAAAGGATAAACTTGTATCAGTCCATTTTACAAAGTCAACACAACCTAATATAAAACCTGACAGTACCAAAAAGGAAAGAAAAATAGCCGGGCATGGTGGTGCATGCTTGTAATCCCAGCGATTTAGAAGGCTGAGCAGGAGGATTGGGAGTTCAAAGCCAGCCTCAGCAACTTAGTGATGCCCTAAGAAACTCAGTGAGACCCTGTCTCTAAATTAAAAAAAAAAAAAAAAAAAAGGTTGGGGATGTGGCTCAGTGGTTAAGCACCCCTGGGTTTAATCCCTGGGGTTAAAAAAAGAAAAAGATATGGTTGTAAACTTGTTTTTGGTACTGGGGATTGAACCCAGGCCCTCACTAAATTGCCAAAGCTGGCCCTTAATTCACAACCCAAGTGGCTGGGATTACAGCATTGGCTGTAAACTTCTTTTTTTTTTTTTTGAGCAGGGTTCTACCAGGGATTGAACTCAGGGGCATTCAATCACTGAGCCATATCACCAGCTCTATTTTGTATTTATTTAGAGACAGGGTCTCACTGCATTGCTTAGCACCTCGCTGTTGCTGAAGCTGGCTTTGAACTTGAGATCCTCCTGCCTCAGCCTCCTTAGCTGCTGGGATTACAGGCATGCACCACTGCATCTGGCTAAACTTCTTAAGAAAGCATTGTCAGATAGAAAAAGCAGCATTTCAAAAGGATAATATCCTATGTTTAAAGTAAGGTATATTCTCATAAAGCGTGTATGTTTCATTATTAAGAAATCCAATGTAATTCACTACATTAATTGAAAGAAATATCTGCAATTATCAACAGAATCCAAAACAGGCACTAACAGAGTTAAGTAGCTGTTCCTGTTTAAAATTCTTAAGTAAAAGGCACAGTTTAAATTTGTTAAGGCCTAGTGCTGGATCTGGTGGCACAGGCCTGTAATCCCAGCAACTCAAGGAAGGGGTTGAGGCAGGAAGTTCTCAAGTTTAAGGCCAGCCTCAGCAACTTAGTGAGGCCCTAAGAAACTTAGTAAGACTCTGTCTCAAAATAAAAAATAATTTTAAGAAAGGGTTGGAGAGACTGGGGTTGTACCTCAGTGGTAGAGCACTTGCCTAGCATGTGTGAGGCACTGGGTTTGATTCTCAGCAGCACATATAAATAAATAAAATAAAGGTCCATCAACAATTAAAAGAATGGAAAGAGAGAGAGAGAGAAAGGAAGGAAGAAAGGAAAGAAAAGAAAGAAAGAAAGAGTTAAAGATGTAGCTCAGTGGTAAAGCACACCTGGATTCAAGCATTAGTACCCAGACAAACCAAACAAGCAAAAAGCAATGTTAATGTCTGTTTATTCCCAAACTTGTACAAGCATCGATAAAATGCTAAAGCTATTCCCTTTAAAGTAGCAATGCTCCATTTTAATGTTTCCATTAGAACATAATAATGCTCATAATTGTTCAGGGTTTCTTTTGAGTCATCAAATGCAGCAAAAAATAAAAATAATCAAAAAACTAGAAAGGAATGGGTTGGTGGATATAGCCTGGTAGTGCGTTTACCTGGCATATACAAAGCCCTAGGTTAGACCTCCAGTATCGCAAAAAATCAAAATGAAACAAAAAAAGAAAAAGTGGAAGAGACTTAGAATCATATCATGAGCAAAAAGATTTTTATTAAAAATGCTAAGTTATTAACACTATTAACATGAAAGTAAGCTGCTTATAAGGTCAAGAATCAACTAGAACTACAAAGCAGGAAACGTATTTCATTCACAATAGTAAGCTTAGAAATGAATTTAGCAACACATCTGCTGGAAGAAAAATATAAAATTATATCTAAGAGCAAAGAACAAGATCTTAACAAGTAAGAAAAATAGACCATGTTATTATTTTAAGACAAGGTCTCACTAAGTTGCCTGAACTGGTCTCAAACTTGGTGATCCTTCTATCTTAGCCTCCTGAGTTGCTGGGATAATAAGTGTGCTCTACTGCCCAACTTCTACTGTGTTTTAATTGCTATTATTTCTGGTGGTAAAATATCAGTAATCTTTCTAAATGTTTTGAGTTAATTTGGGAAACACAAATTATTAATATAGAATATGTGATCTCCATCTGTTTTTATTCTTTTTTTTTTTTTAATTTTCTCTAGCTTCATTGGATACCACTACCTGGGAATATCCAGATGTCTGCAGATATTATTTTGGTTCCTTTGGGCAGTGGTCAAGTCTCCTTTTCTCCTTGGTGTCTCTCATTGGAGCAATGATAGTTTATTGGGTGCTTATGTCTAATTTTCTTTTTAATACTGGAAAATTTATTTTTAGTAAGTATTGATATCATATACTTTAACACAATTACTTTCAAATACAATTACTCTTGTAGTTCCCGCCTTAAACTCTAGGACTTGGGATATTACAAAATAAGAAGTACTGTAAGTATGTAATTCTGGAAAATTTATGATTCAGTTTGTTTTCCATGGTTATGATCTCAAATATAATGTGTATGTTCATTTCCAAACATTAATTTTTGAGTAAACAATGTTCCTTCAAAGTATCTAATTAATATAAAATATTGTCATAACCCAGTGACTATTTTAAGCATTGTTAAAAATTTTAGTATTGTAGCAGAAAATTTTGTGAAAATCATTAGTGTTTGTTGCTAAAGAATTTGATGTGCTGGGGTTGTGGCTCTGGGGTAGAACGCTCGCCTAACACGTGCGAGGCCCTGGGTTCCATCCTCAGCGCCACATAAAAAAAAAAAATGAATAAATAAAATAAAGAATTTGATTTGTAGATTAGGAGAAACAAATTTCAGTTACTTATTTTAAAAATATTAGAATTTATCTGATAAATATATTATTTACATACTACAAGATTGTAGTCTGCCCAAGTAAGCTACTTGAATTCTGAAAAGAGTCTTAGAAATTCAGACCACGTACTCTTTATAATGTTTTTTAAGTTGGATAGAGGAAGTTCATCTTATATTGAATAAGATTCCAAATTACTTTTGCCTAATAATTGATAGACCTAAAACTTAGTATGTTTAGCTGCCTTTAAGTAAACTATATATTTAAAATATGGATTTACATGAAAGCTAGTCTCTCTACAGTATTTAAGTGAGGGGTCAGGAATTCTATTTTTATTTTAAACAATAAAATTAGCATTTTTAATTAGATGTTTTATTGCCAAACATTTTTATTGTTGAAAAATTGTGAAACATTTCAATCTACAAAAAAATGCAGAAGTTAATATAAATACCATTGTACCCACTAACAAGCTTTAGTGTTTTAACATTTGCCATATTTGTATTAGTTCTCTATTCTTATGAAAAAATCAAATATTACAGATATAATTGAAGCCACATGTGTATTCCCCTTCACAGTCCCATTTTCCTTCTTCCCTAAATTTGGTGTTTTTCACTCATGCATGTTTTTGTGTTTTTACTGCATAACTATATGAACAACATGTAGTGTTGTCTTTCATGTTTTTAATCTATTCAAGTTATTTTGCAACTTGCTTTTTGTCATATTTATTAATACACAGTTCATTGTAACTGATTTATCATATTTAATAATTTGAATATACCCCAACTTTCTTATCCATTGTCTTGATGAACATTTAATTTATTTTGCTAGTACAAGCAACACTTTATTAAACATCTCTATTTCTGTTTCCTTCTTACATGTGGGAGTTTCTCCTGGCTTTGTAACTCTAAGACAGACTTCTAGAAATTGGAATATTCACTTTTTCACCTTGTTAGAAATTGCCAAATTATTCTTTATCCTGGTTTTATCAATTACACTGGTACCAGCAATTATGAAAGTCCCTCCTTCTGTGTTCTCCTCACAGGTATTATGACAGATTTTGTCAATCAAGATCTGTTCATAAGGGGTAACACTAGGCATCTTTTCTTAATTATATAAACAGTTAAGTAACTTATTCATGTTCTCCCATTTTCCTATTGGATTATTGGTCTTTTTCTTTTTTATGGAATATTTTTATCCATCGTGTTGCAAATATCTTCTAGTTGGTGGCTTGGCTTTACTTTTAATTTCAAATCCATAATTTTTTCCACTAGGGTCTATGGACCTAACATTTTAAAATCAACTTGTCAAGGTCCAGAGAAATCCAATTAGAATTTGATTGAAATTGCATTAAACTTTTTAGTCAGTATGCACTATTGATGCCATTAAGGTACTGAGTTTAGAATTTGATTAGAATTACACTAGATTTATAGGTGTGGAGAAAATTTACATAATTAGGACACTTAGTTTTCCTATCCATGATCGTGGCATGGCATAGTTCTCTGTTTATATAAGCTTTTTAAATATCTTCTAAATTTTTCTTGATAAAGCTCTTGCATATCTTTTTTAAAGACTTTTTCCTTAGTACCTTAAATTTTTTTTGTAAATGTGGTTTTGATTTAATATACAACATGTGCACTTTTTGTTATAGAAAATTTCAAACATACAAAGGAAACAACAGTATAAGGATCCTACATATTCCTCTCCTCTATAGCTTATATAGTATATCTCAGATATACTATAAATCTGTTCATGAATTGTATGTATATCTGTACTTGATATATAAAAATAATAAGGTTTTTTTCCTCCCATTGGGAGCAATACCACATCCATTAAGAAAGCATGATCCACATTATACACATTTGCCACACCAGTTCAACTATTATTTTATATATATAGTTCTCTTTTTTAGAAAGAATTTATTCATTGAAATAACTTGAATATTTGACTTACAATATTCAATGGATTAATGGTTAAATGGATACATTCATATAACCCACACCTCCTTCAAGAAACAGAATTCTATTTTTATCTCTCCAGAAATAATGATATCTCTTAATCACATATTCAAATTGTTTGTTGATTATAAACCAATTTCTGTATGTTTGAATCTAGCAAACTTGCTGAACTCTTGTTAATTGTAATAATTTTGTACATGTACTTTTTTTTTAACCTTTGTTTTTATTTATTTTTTTTTTATATGGTGCTCAGGATCGAACCCAGGGCCCTGCATGTACTTTTTGATATTCTATTTAGATAGTCACATCATTCATAAAGAAAGTTCCATCCTATCTACTCATTATTTTAAATGGTTTGTATGTATGTGCATAGATTTATATTTGTATACATACACACATATAAATACATACAAACATATACGTACATGTATGTGTGTAGATGTGTGTGTTTGTGTGCACCTAAATTTCACTCTTTCTTTATGGACACCAATCATTGCCTTTAGGGCTTACCCTAAATTAGTATGACTTCATATTAATATACCATGGCTGTATATGCTTTTTTCTTTGATACTTCCTTTAATCTAACTCAATGGTTCTTGGGAGTATAATAATTACTATACAGCCCTGGATCCATAAAAACACGTATTGTACTTTACAAAGAGCTTAAGTGATTTTTCCCAGTAAGTTTAACTGCATGATTGTTGTTTTCCCTTTTTGCATATTTTAGAACTTTATGTAAAATGTAACTGTAATTAACATGAATATAGAAAAATAAATTGTACACATTATTTACATTCCAGGGCTTTTACTACTATTAATTTAGCCTTGTAGGTAGATTTTTTAAAAAGTATTAAATTATATAAAAATTTTCAAAGTGGGACTCTGAATCCAATATTATGATTCCAGTAAGTGACGAAAGCTATAGAAGGTGAAACTGTAATAATAAAGTTGTGGGGCTGGGGTTGTGGCTCAGCAGTAGTAGAGCACTTGCCTCTCAGGTGTGAGACCTTGGGTTCGATCCTCAGCACCACATAAAAATAAATAAACAAAAATAAAGGTATTGTACCCATGTATAACTAAAAAAAATTTAAGAAAAAAAAATAATAAAGTTGTTTTGGTTTAGTGTTCTAGATACTATATTACACATGATAGATAATTTTAATATTTTTGTAAATAAAAAACTTTAGAGGGTAATAGATTCAGCATCTTTCATTCAGTGTTAAGCTACATTTTTGTCTTTAAATTTTAGATTTTATTCATCACATTAATGACACAGACACTACACTGAGAACCAATAATAGCAACCCTGGTAAGTAGTTTGGAATTTAATTTGGTTCTTTATTCCTCACTTTGTCCAAAAAGAATTTAAGCTAAAACCTATGAATTTATTTTAGGTAAATGAAAAGTGCAATATTATTATTATTATTATGTTAACAGAGCTGCTACTAAATTATTGGTAACGGATACATTTTTTAAAAAACTCCAAAAAAAGTTTATGTTGATGTGAACTAGTCAATAGGTTGTGTTAATGTGAGCTGGAAAATATTTAGTTCATACATATTATATATCCCTGATTCAAAAACCTGAAATTTAAAATGTTCCAAAATTAGATTGGGGGGCTGGGAATGTAGCTCAATGCTAGAGTGCTTGCCTACATGCTTGTTGTGCTGAGTTCTATCCCCAGCATCATCCAAAACAAAGCAAAAATTAGAGATGTGCAGCTGGTAAAATCAATGCAAATAATCCAAAATCTGAACCACTTTTGGTCCCAAGCATTTCAGATAAGTGATATGCAACCTGTATTATACAACACATAGTTAAGCTCAGAGTGTCTGTATTACCTGAATAATCAAAAATTTTCAAGAACCTACATCACTTCTTGGGTTAGGTGTCTAGAAGCATAGTTTTCAGTTTGTTAACTTAATTTTAGGTGTGTAATATTTTAGTTACTAATCTATAGGCTACACAGATTTGTAATTAATAAAATAATTTCCTGATACTGAAAAGAGACTAATAAAATTTTCCTTTAATTTATTTACTAAAAATAAATTCTTGGGGCTGGCAGTGTAGCCCAACAGTAGAGCACATGTGAAAGATCCTGGGGTGAATCTTCAGCACCACAAAAACATAAAAATTTTTAAAAACTAAAATAAACCCATTGTGGCCAGTGGGCTTAAACCAGTATGGAAATCATAGGGAAAATGAATGTAAACACAGTTGTAACCTTGTTGACAGTTTTGTTGTTAACCTTGAACATTACCTAAAGCTTTGTGAGTTAGGTTTCAGGAATGAAAAATTGATGCCATTTTTATGGAGGTACACATTGATCACTAATATTTATTAAGCCCAGTATGTGTCAGGAGCTGTTATAAGCACTGGGTTTATAATAATGAACAGACAGTAGTCAAACTTCTCATGAAGCATACATTCCAGTGCTTGCTGTTCAGTGTCTTACTTTACCCCTTAATTAAGCCTGATTAACCTGTCAATTGTCAACTATTGAAAATGAGTGAATAACCAGCTTTTATTCCTGAGAATAAAATAATTCCTTTGAATTGCTCTACTAAAATCTCTTGTACCTTGTTCATTACTCCAGAATTTTCAAAGAATCTTGTCTTAAAGTAGAAAATGATTTTGCTGTATAGCTATTCTGATACCATTGATGGAAGTAGCTTATTAATTATCTCATAGAATTTCTTCTGCAGCAGGGAGTAATTCCATCCATGAGGTCATAAATATTACAATTATGTTGATAATTTGTAAAGTACCATCAGCAAAGTCAGTTTACTTTGCATAGTGATAACCTGTGTTAATATCAGCATGTCTTGATTTATCTTTTAATATTTATTTTGAAACAGTATGGTAAGTATGAAGCAACCCATCTTAGTTAGTGCAAAATAATTGTAGCTCATATTTATTGAATATTTACTTGGCAAAGACATTGTTCTAAACATTTCACAGCAACACTATAAGGTAAACTGTTAGCTCCACTTTGTAAATGTAGGATCCAAGACACAGAGAAGTTAATTTGCCCAAAAACATCTGTTAAGTAGCAGATGTTTTAGTCAATTTACTTTCATAGCCTGTGCTCTTTACTACTACAGTTAGCAAAGACAATTTTTTTTTTCCAGAGCATAGAAGAAAAAGGTACATGTTAAGATGCTAAGAAAGAAAAAGGAGCTGGGGATATGGCTCAGTTGATAGAGTGCTTGCCTCCTATGCACAAGGCCCTGGTTCAATCCCCAATACCACCAAAAAAAAAAAAAAAAGAGAGAGAGAGAGAAGATGCTAAGAAAAGAAAGCACAAGAGAAAAAATTAAATGTTTGGTTTTATGGCATACCAAAAAATAGGTAGAGAATAAAATTCATAATAAAATAAATGTTCTTTCTCTTTGACTAGTGATGAATATGACAGTTGCTGAGTATAAGTGATTTTTCACTAGTATTAAGAATGCTGATTACTATCAAAAGCTCTTTTGTGAAATTAGAAACAATAAGAATGATTTGTACAGTATCTAATAATAGAAGAAATTGCCACCTGTAAATCAATATTAAGAAAAAATACATTTGCTAGGCATAATGCTATATGTGCCTGTAATCCCAGTGACTAGGAAGGCTAAGGCAGGAGGTTTGCAAGTGTGAGGCCAGCCTAGGCAATTTAGGGAGATGCTATCTCAAAATAAAAATTAAAAAGATCTGGGGATGTAGCTCAGTGATAGAGCATCTCTAGGTTCTATCCCAGTACCAGCAAAAACAAACAAACAAACAATATGTGTGTGTGTGTGTGTGTGTATGTGTATGCATGCGCATGTGCATAATACACATATGTGCACTTTACTAATTTTCTAGTAATGTCAGCCAGCTGTTGGGCTTCTATCAAGGGTGATAAACTTCCAGAATTATTTTGGATTGCTAAAATTCAAGGCTGTTAAGTTTTCACCAATGATTAGGTTTGGGAAGTACCATGGTAGTTATTCTAGAAATGTCTGCTTTTTATTCCAAACCTGTATATTCTATTTGTATTAAAAGAAACCTACCCTTTGTCCTTTAATGAGTTAATAGTACAACAGTTACCCTGAATGACATTTTTTGTGTTATTGTACAAATAGGACTGAATGCCATTTAGTCCAATATTTTCTCTCTCACATTGGAACCAAGGGATGTTTGATGGGATATTTTATAGTTTTCAACAGAAATTAAGAATGTACCTCAAAATTTTCTAAGATTCCCTCATCTTTAATTCATTTTTAGGTGAAAAATTCCTAATGTGACTAAATATAATTCTACATTTTTGTCATAAAGGAGAAGCTTAGTGTTTAGTAAAAGTTGAGCAAATATCAGTCTGTGGGGATGGACATTTTCTACTTTCATTGTCTTCTCTAATGTGGTGTTTTACTGTTGCAGTGATTTGTCCAAATGCTGGGAGTGGTGGCCATCCTGACAATGGCTCTATGATTTTCCATGCCAATGACACAGAAGTCCAACAGTTTGAAAAGTGGTGGAATAAGTCCAAGACAGTGCCGTTTTACCTCATAGGGCTTCTCCTGCCACTGCTCAATTTTAAATCTCCTTCGTTTTTTTCAAAATTTAATATCCTAGGTAAGACATGATACTGTGTTGTGGAAATTCTGTGTAATAGAATACATGGTAGATTCTGTGAAAATATGGTTCTGGGGAGAAAGTTACCTGCTAGGCCTGTTCATCTATGTTGAATTTGTTCATATAGTTCTCTACATTTTTGTGTTTTTTTTTTTTTTTTTTTTTTTTTGGCACAGAGAAAAATGTAGATGATCATTTCAAGTCCTTTTTTGTTCTTTGGTGTTTTGAGATATAAGTTATTTTGTTTCCCATTCTAACCTTACTAGATAACTCTTCTATATTTTTTCTGAGAGTACAACTAGAGGAAATCGACTAAAATTTCAGGAGGAGAGATCAAAATGGATATTATAGAAATCCTCAACTTTAAGGGTTGGAAACATTAGAACTTATTACAGGACATTATGGAATGTTTTTTTCCTGTCATTTCCATTTAAGAGTATTGCATAGAATTATCATTTGAACTTAGAATATCATTATCTAGCTCGAGCTTCTAAGGTTTATTCTGTTTTTGCTCTCTTCCTCAGTGCATTTTCTTTCTTAGAATACTATTGTTTCCTTAAAGTAACAGACCTCTTTCAGTGATTTCTTTTTCACTAAAGCAATGTTTTAACCCTATTTTCAATCCCCAGGGTAAACTCAAATCTGGTTAACTAGAGAAAATGCAAGGATGTCATTCATAAAGAATTGATAGGCCCAAGTAGACTGTAGGGTTTTATCTCCCCCTGTGTATCTTATCCCCTGGTAGGCAGTATAGCATAAAATAATCAGATTATCCATCACATCAAGGAATCTGATGGTGGAAACCCAAAATGTAGCTGGGTTTCCAGAAGATGAAAAGAGGAGGTTAAGATACATTTCTCTGCTTTTCTGCCTTAGAACCAAATTCACTATAAGCTACTTTACACACACGACACAGAAAATAATAGATTTGTGGTTATATAAGCTTTGGCCTCTTGTTTTCATCCTTTCTGAATCAGCTAATCTCTAAACCCACAGTAGAGCTTATATGGCTCATTTGTGGTTTCCTGATTTGCTTGCTGACTTTCCAGTGGAACAAATCTTTTGAAAGCATAGAAACTTGTGGAAGGATTTGCTCATTTCGGCAAAACAATCACCAGACTTCTAACCAGGTTGAAGGATATAAAGCTTTTGTTCTTTTCCTTGGTACTTTGCCTTTCTTTTACAACTAAACCTTCTTTAAAGAATTTAGCATCTAAGGATATTCCTAGGCTTCCTGACTATGCTCTATAATGACTGGACTTAACTTCCTCAAAAGAAATAATCCTCTGACTTTTCTGCTCTACTAAAACATTGTGACTGCCCGCTCCACCTTGTATATAACACCTGGGAAAGGAATCTGGAATTTTTTCAAGTACAAACAGTACTAATCATTCAGCACTCATGTAAATACTATATCCGATTGTTTATGGATTATTTGACTTTTTACCTTCTCAAATGTTTATGATCTACATTTATTACTTTCTTATCATTTCACATTAATTTTTGTGACAGACTTTTTCAGCCTGTTGACTGTCACTAGCATCAATGCAAAGAATAAAAGTTATAGTTTCGTGTTGTTTTTTTTTTCTCCTGTGTAACCTTACAGTTTTGTAATGGACCCTTTGTGTCTTCCATCAAACTCAGCTCATAAGTAAATTAAGCAGCTTGCATTTAACAATATGTGAGCTACCTTCATCCAGTTATTCTTAGGCTTACTACTTAAAGTTTTTATTTTATTTTCTGGTAACTCATATAACTTATTTGTATTCTTTAGGTCCCAGTTTGATTTTAGTAGAGATAATCAATGAAGGTAACAATTTTTCACACTTTGGCGAGAATAAGGAAACAAGGTTTGATTTTTAAAAAGTCTGTAAAACACACAAAGAGAATAGTTGAACACAGTGGCATACACCTGTAATTCCAGCAGTTAGGGAGGCTGAGGCAGGAAGATCACAGGTTCAAGGCCAGCCTCAGCAACTTAGTGAGGCCCTGTCTCAAAAAACAAAAAGGGCTGGGGAGTAGTTTAGTAATAAAGCACGCCTAGATTCAAACCGCCTCCCCCCAAAACACACACACACACACACATACACACACACACATACACATATAAAAATGATAAACAGTTTCTGGATTTTTTTTTTCTTGCAGGCACAGTATCTGTTCTCTATTTGATTTTTCTTGTTACCTTGAAAGCTATTCGCTTGGGATTTCATTTGGAATTTCACTGGTTTATGCCAACAGAATTTTTTGTACCAGGTGAGTTGTTTTGGCAAAATAACATACTAATAAATTATAATAATGTGATCTGTAAGTTAAATTATTATTATATGCCATTTTAAACCAAATAGTGTGTTTTCTTTTATATTGAACACTTAATGCTAGTAAGCTAAAAATAGGACCACAATTGGGATTTCTTACAGTTAGGGATAACCAGGGCCCTTTGTCTTTTCTACTTGGTTTGTTTATGTTACAATGAAATTGGAAAGTTAATAATTCTCTAGGCTTTTCTAAGAAATATACCCCTAGAATTTCAAAGACTTAGAACATGGTCAGTGATATATATGGATGATACTGCTTATTAAAACAATGTTCCCCTTATGGGTTTTACTGTTTCTCAGGCTAAAATTGTGATAATTTAATGTTTGCCTCTCCTTGCCCCTTTCCTTCCTCATGCTTATAACTTGGTAATTTCCTTCTCACCCAAATATAGAATATTTTGGACATGAGGGGCTGGGGATATAGCTTAGTTGGTAGAGTGCTTGCCTCACATGCACAAGGCCCTGGGTTCAAATCCCCAGCACCACCAAAAAAAAAAAAAAAAAAGAATATTTTGGACATGAGAAAAGTACAGTGAAACAATAAATAAATAATGCTAAATGAGGAGACAGATTAGAAAATGGAAGTAGCTATTAGATAAATGCCTTGAAAACTAATAATAAGGAAATAGTACATAATTTTGTTGTTGGTGCTAAAAGACCACTTTCCATTCTTTTTTTTTTTTTTTAAAGAGAGAGAGAGAGAGAGAATTTTAATATTTATTTTTTAGTTTTCGGCGGGCACAACATCTTTGTTTGTATGTGGTGCTGAGGATCGAACCTGGGCCTCACGCATGCCAGGTGAGCGCGCTACCGCTTGAGCCACATCCTCAGCCCCACTTTCCATTCTTAAGTCATTGATTTAGGCAGTCAAGAATTCTAGTATCTACTCAGTATCTTGGGTTATCTTCCAAAATATGTAATTGTAGTTGTCTACCACCCCATTTCTTCCCATTGTTAGTACATTCCTGAGTTTTTCAGGTGTATGGAGATGCTATTTATTGGACATTGTAGAGTCCAATTACTGTGGCTGCTTGTGTTCAGAATATTTGATTATATTAGCTTTGATTCTTCATTTTTATTCGAAGCCCACAAAGACTTGGAAGTCAATGTAGATTCAGGATAAAGGAAGTACTGGGACTTAAAAGGCACTGTTCTCTCCAAGATTATATTCAAAGTTGGATACTGATGAAAATGTCAATTTAAAGCTAGTTTTTTCATTGATTGATAAAAAGTCTAGGATATTATTTTCTAAAATTAGGTCTACTATGATTTGTAAAAACTCTTAATGATAAAAGTTTCTGCTAATGATAGAACATTAGAAATAGAGATAAAGAAAGGGAAAAGATAAATATATAGAAAACACAAAAAAAACATTTAGATAGATACTAGGTCATTTATTTCACATGACTTCATTTAAAAATGACATAAAGGAAGAATCATAAAACTAAAAAAAGTTTGTATTGATATTTATGATCCTAAAATTATTTTATTGTCATTAAGAAATTTCTCAAGAATGAAAATATGCCGTAAACCTTTTTCAGTAGAGACTAATTAAAAACCAGAAATTGAAATGAGGCATGGTGGTACACCACTTACTTGAGAAGCTGAGGCAGGAAGATCACAAGTTTGAGGCCAACCTGAGCAACTTTACAAGAGCCTGCCTCAAAATTAAATAAAAAGTGTAAATAAAATAAAAAGAAAGTAGCTTTTCGGTAGACCACTTACCTACCATTTACTGGACTCTGGGTTCAATCCACCAAAGAAAAACTAGTGGAGATAAAATCTTTCCTCAGATAAACTTATAGTTCCAGGTGAATCTTATATACTCTTTCTTCCAAAAATTTACTCTTCAAGTCATGTAGATCCCATCATCACTCTTCCTTCCAAGTAATTGGGGGAAGTGAGGATAAGAAAATCCATGTAAACTTTTTCCTCCCTTTCTTCCCTACTGAAGGACTTTACCTTTAAAATTATCCCTTTTTTCTCTGAAATCATGTATCAATTTTTCCTCTTTTGAGTTATTTCTACCAATATATAAAATAATCTCCAATCTAAAAAGAAAAAAAAAAAACTATGTGGTCCCATAATTCCCTCTAGCTATTGCCTCCCTTTGAAGAAACATTTTGGAAGACTTACATATGCTCACTCTCTCTAAGTTCTCCTTCCATTTTGCCTTGAACTCTCTTATTTATTTATATGTATAAGGTTTTTTTAAATTCTTTATTTGTTTTAATTAGTTATATATGACAGTAGAATGCACTTATATACTTTGATATATCATACATAGATGGGATATAATTTCTCATTTTTCTGAGTATACATATTGTAGAATCACATTGGTCATACAGTCACATACATGCATAAAGTAATAAAGTCTGTTTCATTCTACTATCTTTCTTATCCTCACGTCTTTCTTATCCTCACATCTCCTGCCTTCCCCTCCTTTCACTTCCCTCTACCTAATCTAAGGTAACACTATTCTTTTTTTTTTTTTTTTTTGCATTACAATTCTTAATACACATATATACCACAATTTTTGTAGGCTTTGCCCCAGTCATTCCATGATAACCAGTGATTTTCACTATTCTTATTCATGTTTGGTTCCATCTTGGAACACCTTCTTTACTTCATTTCTAAAGCCTCATTCTTTCTTGACTCTTCTTTATAACTTGGCTGCTTCTCAAATGTCTGACCTCTAATTGTAAGTCATCCAAGGTTTAGTACTCAAATCTCAAATTTTCTCTTTATCCTTATTCCCTAAGTAATGTCATACAGTTACCTGCCTTTGTATATTATCTATATGCTGACTTGACTAGTCCCAATTGTATTTCTCTAGCCTAGATTCTCCACTGAAGTCCATAAGCATACATCTACTTCCCCCTTCTGCATCTCCGTATAGATGTCTATAGATGTCTTAAACTTAAATTGACAAAAATCAAATATGTAAAAAACTTCAACATCCACATGGCCCCACCCACCAACCTGTTTAAACCTACTGTTCTCCTAGGCGTCTCTTAAAAACAATAGCTCCAGTTTTCCAGTTACTCAAGCCAAAAACTTTTCAGTCTTTGTTCTTTCTTCACTACCATCCCATATCTAATCCATCTGCAAAGTGTGTCTAGTTTACTTTGGAAAAAAAATGAGAATCTGAATACTTCTTACCGTTTCTATCAGAAAGAACTATGTCAAGATACTAATCTCACCTGGATTATTTATAGTGGTCTCCTAGTTAATCTTGTTATCTCTACTGTGTCTTCCTGACCACAATCTGTTCTACATTAGCAGCTAGAATGATTTTTTCTTGTTGTTGTTTTGTTTTGTTGTGGTACTAGTTTGATACCACTGAACTACATCCCAAGCCCCTTTTTTAAAATGTTTGTTTTTTGAGAAGGGTCTTACTATTTTGACCAAGGCTGGTCATAAACTTTTGATCCTCCTGCCTCCTAAATCACTGGGATTATAGGCATGCACTGTGCCTGGCAAGAGAAATGGCTTCCCACCTTATTCAGAATGAGTCTTTATCATAGTTCATAGGTCCTATATGATCTGGCTACTGGTATCCTTTCTTATTTAATCCTCTATAACTTTTCCTCTTACATAGTCCACTCCAGCCACACTGGCTTCCTTGCTGTTCAATCAAAATGCCAAGCACATTCCTGTCTTAGAATATTTCCATTTGATTTCTATTCCTTGTGTATGAAATGTGTTTTTGTTTTCTGACATCCGAATGGTTAGTATCATTAGAGAGGTCTTCCCTGACTACCTTGCCACCCTCATGTCTCCTTTTGTGCCTGTCTTTATTTAAATCTCTTATCACTACCAAATTTTATATGCAAGTGTCCATGGTTATCTAACTCTATAAATAATAAATTCCTAATTTTGATAATGAATTAGGATATTGAGAAATACCTCTTGGTTCCTGAGTTTCAGAAAATAGCAAAAGTTAAGAAAGCAAGGAGTTTATCCAAAAATGTTTCCAAATTTCTTTGGTTTTTTACTCAGATTGTGAAAGTTCAAGATGGGAACAAATACGTATGTTTATTTTTCTTTACTTGTGTATCTGTCTCCTGTAATTGGACTGTTAAACTCTCTAAGAAAAGGAATATTGTTTTTGTTTTTTATACTTCTGTATTACTATTGTCCCCCTAAGCCTTATATTTCCTGGCATATAGAGAGTGCTGAACCCATTGAATAAATGTGTTTATTTCCACTCCCTTCTAAAGCCCATTAAAACAACAGTAGAGAAAATAAAAACCAAACCAAGAGAATTTGTAGAAGATATAATAATAGACAAGAGGTAGCAACAGATTTTTAGAAGCTGGAAAACTAAGAGTTGATAACTGAAAACAAAGCAGAGAAACTGAAATGTAAATGTAAGTAATAGGGGGGCTGAGGCTCAGCGGTAGAGCTTTTACCTTGCATGTGTGAGGCACTGGGACCAATCCTCAGCACCACATAAAAATAAATAAACAAAATAAAGGTGTTGTATCCATCTACAACTAAAAAAAAAAAAATGTAAGAAATAGGAATTCTAACACAAAGGGGCCTAGTTTGAGGGATACATTCCCCTTTACCTCCTCAACCTAGTAAGTTGAAATGGAAAAAACTAAATCAAAGTAGCTCTAAACTTGGATACACCAGGCATAGCAGAGGGTGAAAACAGACTCTAATACTATCACAGGGACTAAGTGTATAGGCTGAATGTTGAGATTTACTGCTTTCTCCCACTGTCTCCACCAAATTTCTTTTATCCCTTGGTTCTGAGAATACTGACAGTCAGGTAGAGGTTCTCTTATAAAGAAACTGAAAACCCACAAGGAACAACCTAGAATCTCAGATGTTTGGGTTCTACCAAAGAAATGGATAGGTACCTTGCTTTCACCAGACCAGTTAGATGTTTACCAAGTATACATTTTTAATTTAGAAAAAAGATTTTTT